GGCGAACCAAGTGTTTTCTTGCTCGCCAAATCCTCACTCCCCGACATCACCACGCAGCAACTTCTCTAGCTAACTTCTAATCTACTAATCTAACACTAAAACTAACAACTGATTTGAATTCGCCAGCCCAAAAAACCTCGGAAACGAGACCTCCCTCGCCCGTTTTCATCAAGAAACGGGCGAGACCTTCGTTTTGCACCTCTCCTACTTCAGCCTGCTCCGCCATAGCCCATGCATGCTTTTTCTTACTAACTTCGCAATTTACTAACTATCTTCCTAATCTAACTGCATATTCGGGGTCGTACGCATCAGGCTGTATGTCGAAGGTAAATTTCCATTAACCTGCACTTGCCCTTGTGCATCATTGTAGAGAACTCTTATCCATTTCCTGAAGTTCGGGCCTACTCCCATCTTTTCCATGCATTGCTGTAGGAATGGCCAACTGACCTGATCATACGCCTTTTCAAAGTGGAAGAACAAGATGGCTGCATTAATTCTCTTGACCACCTGCAGCCTGTAGGGCAGGCCAGTCTTATATAGTGCTGGCCCGTCCAGGAGGCTGCTCTTGCCAATGCCCAAACGTGCCAGACCCTGGCGTTGAAGTTCAAACAGAGGTTGTCTTGAAAAAAGGCCAAAAATGGCTTCTTAACGAAAGTCCTATAGTAGCCTGTCATTCCTAAGAAAGATCTCATCTCAGTCACAGACTAAGGACGTGGCCAATCACGAATGATGGCCACCTTCGCGTCATCGGGCTTCAACCCTTCCGCGGAGATCTCATGACCCAAGTACAAGACACGGGTGCGACCAAACTCGCACTTCTCACCGTTAATCTTGAACTTGTGCTGTCGGCCGCTCCTTTGACTAATCTGACCCGCCTTGACACCCCATGGGAGTGGACAGATGAGTGCGAGGCTGCTTTCAGACATCTGAAGCATGCGTTGACGCACTTCGAGGTCTTGAAACTTCCTGATCCTGATAAGTCGTTTATAGTCACCACGGATGCCAACCAATATGGCATTGGCGCCGTGCTCGCGCAGTAGGAGGGGCCAAAGTTGAGGCCTGTAGAGTACATGTCCAAGAAAATGTCGTCTCAGAAGTTGGCCAAGTCCACCTATGAGAAGGAACTGTATGCGGTTTACAAGGCTCTGACCCATTGGAGGCACTATCTCCTTGGGAGATTCTTCATCCTCAGGACTGATCACCAGACCCTGAGATGGATGAGAACTCAGCCGGTGCTCTCTGACGCTCTCAAGCGTTGGATCGAAGTCATTGAGCAATATGACTTTGACCCTCAGTATCTGAAAGGGGAGTACAACAAGGTTGTTGATGCCTTGTCGCATAGACCTGATTTCTCAGGTGCGCTGATTATTGAGTTCGATCTGACGGATAATGTTACTTAGTCCTTGGTGGAAGCCTATCGCGAGGACCATTTCATGTCTGAGATCATACGCAGACTTCAGGCGAAGGACAAGAAAACCTCTGCCAAGTTTGAGTTGGTCAATGGCTTGCTGTTCCTTAAGAAGGCAGGGAATAAACCATTGTGTGTCCCTAATAACGAGTCTTTGCGTAGTTTATTTTTAGGTGAGTGTCATGATGCCACCGGCCATTTTGGGTACAAGAAGACCGCAGCTAATCTGCTGCAGCGGTTTTGGTGGCCCATGATGATGCGAGATGCCCAGCTGTACGCGGAGACTTGTCAAGTCTGTCAGAGGGACAAGCCATGTACGCAGGCTCCTCTTGGGCTTTTGAAGCCCCTTCCGATTCCGGAACGGCCTGGTGAGAGTCTGTCCATGGACTTCATGGATACCCTGATCACCAGCAAAATGGGATGCAACACATCTTCGTCATCGTGGATAGATTTAGTAAATACGCTAGGTTAGTAGCAATGCCGGAAACAGCAAAGACGGAGTATGTGATCCGAATGTTCAAAGAGAACTTTGTTAGAGACTTTAGGTTACCAAAGTCTATTATCAGTGACAGATCCGTCCGGTTTACAAGTGAATTGTGGAAGGCCGCTGCTGCAGAGCAGGGAACCCAGTTGCAAATGACTTCTGGGAACCACCCAGAGGCAAACGGACAAGCCGAGCAATTGAATCGCGTTGTACAACACCTGTTGAGGCATTACATCAAGCCCAACCAGGTGGACGGGGATGAAAAGCTTGCTCTCATCGCCAGCCTGTACAACAATGCTGTACACAGTGCCACTGGGGTGAGCCCGAACAGTTTACTATTGACTTTCAAGCCTAGACTACCCCTTGACTTTCTCCTTCCTGAGAATCAATCAACTGCTGCACCGGGTACTTTAGAGTTTGCCTACAGATATGAACAAAAAATGCAGCAGGCGGTAGAGCAGATGCAGAAGGCACAGGCAGCAATGATAGAGTCTGAGAACAGGCACCGCTGACCTTCTACGTTTCAGGTTGGGGACAGAGTTTGGGTAAAGTCCTCAGAACTAGGACAGGAGTACGAGATTTCCCGTAAACTCATGCCACAGTACTTTGGACCACGGAAAGTCTTAGATATTATCGGGACTGATCCAGATGGGCCATCTTATGTAATCCGAATCCCAGGTCATCTTCGTACTTACCCCGTCTTTCACGCCTCCAAACTTGCACCTTTCAAAGAAACTGATCAGTTTCCATCTCGCCGCTCAATGCTGCCCCCAACCATGGACGGAGAGGTGGACATCGATGACATCGTGGACCACAGCGAGCTGCCGGTATCAAGACCAACAGGCAGGGGACGTCCTCCGAAACCGAAGCTGCAGTACCGCGTCCGGTTCCGACATCATACTGATCCGAAGGAGGACCGATGGTTTACCAGGGATGAACTCATGCAGACCGCTACGCAAGTGGTAGCCCACTACGAGAAATCTCTGCAGAAAGGAAAGCGCCCGATGGTCGAAGACTGAGCTTCTCAGAGGACTGTTGAAGCTAAGGAGGAGGGAATGTGAGGCCACTGCCTCTATGAGCCCCATTCAGCCCCTTTTTGGGAGCCTGTCGGCCACCCTAAGTGAAGGCAGGCTCGACGAGGCCCCTCAGGGCCTTATTTCGGCCTCTGAGCAACTCAAGGAAATTCAGGCAGTTGCGCAGCGCCAGTTGGTTGAGAGAACCCAGGCCCTGGGCCGCCTGTGTGAATGCATGGAACGCAGGCCCTGGGCTGGATACGGGTACTGGGCCGAACACAGGCCAAAGGCAGTTGGGCGCATGCAACCAACTCAGGCCCAAGGCCTGTTCTCGATCGTGCTGGGCCTCAGGCTGCCGGGGCCTACTGGAAGCTTCCTGGGACTGGACGCAGGCAGGCCACTTCGATATAGCAAAGGGCCTGCCTCCTCATTCGGCATTCGGGTGCTGGCTGCATGCTGCGCAAGCGCTGCTGCGCTATTTGCTGGCTGGCGCCTATGCTCGCACGGGCGAGCTGGGAAGGAGCACGCAGCCATAGCCGAGCTGCGCTTCTGTACGCTGGGTGAAGCGCAGGGTGGTCCTTGGGTGCAAGTGGCATCTGTGTGTTGGGGAACGAGGTTGTGAGTGTGGCGAGAGACATACCTGGTGCTGGAAGCGTGCGACTTTGGTCGCTGTATGCTCGTACTTCGCGAAAGCTGTTGACGTCATCTTTCGGCATCGTAGTATAGGCTAGATAGGATCTGCCACAAGTAGTCTGGGCGCCGCGCGCCAGATAGGATATCAACTCTGGTTCTTCGTTGATGATGATGGGACTATTTCAGCATTGTCAATTATGAACTCTTGGTGTGTTCTTCTTTGATGAATCTCGTGATGCAATTCTGTTGTTGGTTCGAGGTCACGACTATCTGGACTCATATGAATGATGCTGTTTGATTGCTGAAGTTCGCTAATGCTCATCTTCCTTGCAACACTGTTAATTTTGTGCTTTTGCTGCTCGGGCTGTCATAGGACTTAGTGAAACAGTGAAACAAGGGAACATGAGAAGCAAACAAAAACATAGAGGGCCCCAATTTCTTTCCAGTAGTTATCTGAGTTGAGGGTAGTCATTATGTAAGTTATGGGAGTCACCATCTGATTGCCATTCCTCCCCCATGGAGGTAGTGGAGTTGAAAGCAGGAGCATAAAGGAGGAGAAGATGAACTACAGGAGGACAAAGGAAGGAGGAAGGAGATGCCCAAAAAAGAAATAATGGCCATCACACAAACACACAAAATGGTGACAGAGGAGAAAAGCGAACAGAAGCAGCAGTGAGAATGGAAAAGGACTACATGAGGAACACAAAGGAAGGAGAACCCGGAAAGGAAGAAATAATGACAGCACATGATACTGACGATAGCGAGTGAGTGATGATGACAGTTATCATGTCATAGATGATAGCACACTAACAGAAGAAAGACAAAGCACGGAGGAAGGATAACCCTGAAAAAAAGCGTAGGATTGTGGGTTTAGTGCTCCAAGATGATAGGAGGCACTTAAATGGCCTAGCAAAGACAGGATCATTCAAAAAACCTGGGAGCACAAGAACCTGATAACAACCTTCACATCTGACTAGATGGTCGTTACAATCGGACCTTGAAGAGTAGGCCTGATTTGACCATGCTTCGAAAACAGGAAAACTTGGGAAAAGTCAAAAGCATGCTTGCGCCGACCATGCACATGCCCAGAAGCACCTGTTGACTGGGCTGAAAAACAAGAGGATGTACTGTCGTACGATGAAGGCCCTGGAGGGTCAAAACAAGTACCATCACAGGCCCTTCACTGCCAAAGGTCAAGTCACCACCAAGAATGGGGTTTCCCCTTTTCATTAGAGTCAGCAACAGAGTGGGACAGAATTAGAGACAAAAGACAGGTGTACAATTGGCAGACTCACAGAGTACACTAAAGACCGGCAGACACAGCAAGAGATTGAGACTGACTTGACATGAGATCCCGGCGGGTAAGCTGTTACATGGCAGCAAAAGAGACCTCCATGGAGAGTGCAATTGAGAGTACGACAGACTCCGAGAAGATGAATGGATGGATGGCATACTTACGGACCTGCTTTCTGCTTGCTGCAGCTGCTTGTGTCAGGAAAATCGTCCACACCACATATACCACAAATGTCCCAAACACAATGCTTGCGAAAAGTGGGCTGACATGCTTCGCCAAAAGTCCACAGACTAAAACCAGTTCAACAACTGTTGGCACGAATGTAAAAACTGCAAATGCCCCATACAAACAAAAACAAGCAATTGAAAACAAAATTTACAAGTAAGCGAACGTCTTTCTGGCAATTTAGTAGGAGGTTCTTTTTTTATCTGTTTGTTCTCTTGACACTGTTGACAGTGAACATAATTTCTACGCTTGAGCTTTGAAGCCATCATCTTTAAAACACACAAGCAGGTGCAGCCAGCGCAGCTTGCGCCCGCGAACACCGTCAGGAAGCAACCCCAATAAAGAATCTCACGTCCTTCTTTCTGTCTCTGACCGTGATGTTTGACATTGTTGGTTGCTATCTTACCTTTCTTTCACTGTTCTTTTTT